GCCCACAGGGGTCCCCAGCAGAGGCCGGCGGGTGCCAGGGTCCCCGAGAGCCCTGGGGGAGAAGCCACTCTGCTCCCGGAGGGCCCCCACCCTGGGAGCGGCCGGGATCCCCAGCCTGGCGACTCACGTGCTCAGAGCAGGACTCGGAGGACGTCCCCGGCACCTCCTCCGGGTCCTCACACTCCACCTCGGGCTTGTTGATCTTCTGCATGTTCCCAAACTCGATGGGACTGAAGAGTATGCCTGGGGGAACAGGGCCCGTCAGGGAATGGGGCCCTGCTGGGAGCCTGGGAGCCCTGCCCCACCCTGCCCCCCACTAGCCAAGTCCTCAGCCCCGCTCACCTTCGGAGAGGAATTCCGAGTAGGTCTGCAGGCCGTTGTAGTCCCCGCAGAGGCCGCAGGTGTGGTTCTGGAACTTACTGTCCAGCTCCAGCTATCCGGGAAAGGGGGCAGGTGAGCTGGTCTGTGGGCCACTGGGCACCCCAGGGTCCCAGGCAGTCAAGGGAGCCGCTCCTCCACCGGCCTCTTGTTTGAAGGATGGCAGGTGGGGCAGGAGGGCAGGGGTCAGTGGCCAGGGAGTGTCCTGTCAGTGCAGGCCACTGAGAAGCAGCACGTGCTGTGGGAAAGGCTGAGGGCCAGTCCACTGCCCCCGAGGCCCTGTGGCCCTTCCTGGGGCCGGGCAGGCTTCTGCTGCTCAGCACGCTCCCCACCCGCCGCCCCTCCACCTGCCCTCTTGGGTGAGGGGTCAGACCACGGTCCTCCCGGTCCTCCCTAACAGCGGCCCCGCGCCCCAGGCGCCCATGTCGCTGGCGCCCACCATGAGTGAGTCTTCCCGGTTCCACATCAGGGAGACGCCGCTGCGGGAGTAGACCTTGGTGTAGGCGTCGTTCTTCTCAATGAGCAGCCCGGAGCTGTAGTGCGGGGTGCTGACCCTGCGGAGGGGACACCAGGAGTCATGCCAGCCCACCGCCCAGGGCCCCCCAGCGCTTGTCCTCCCTGGGGTCCTGCTGCCCACAGGGGGCTGTGGCTGTGTGCATCGTGTGTGGGGGGATGGCCCCCGGCCCAGTCCTGCCAAGACCAGCTCCTGCCTGGAAGTCATGAACTTGGAGGAGAGATGTGAGCAGTGGCCACAGAGCCACCGTCCGCCATGGCTGGCCAGGCTTCCCCTGGGCACAGCCGGGCCCTTCCCTACACCCCCCTCCTCGGGGGTGTCCTGGGCAGGGACCCCTCCCAGAATCGAGGGAAGGAAGGAGGGCTGGGCTGCTCAAACCCCTTCCTGTCCCTGTCCTCAGAGGGACGTCCCCTCCACAGGGTGTCTGCCTGGGTTGGGGCTTCTCCAGCCCCTGCCCACCCCATCCCCCTGGGGCTGTCCCTGCTGCTGTCAGGGACCCCACCCCCCTTCCTGCCAGTGCCGGTCACCCCAACCTCGGTGCCTCCACCCCCAAGAGCCCTCCACCGCACTCCTGTCCCCCCAGGAGACTGCGGCCCGACAGCCCGGCCAACAGGGCAAGGAAAATAGTGCGGGAAATAGAGTCCTGGAGCCACGAAAGGGCAGGTCCCGAGGCTGGACAGGAATGCGCTTAAGAGAGCCTCATTGTTCCCGGGACAATACGGGAACAATAGGTGGGTGCGGGGAAGGGGCCCCACAGCCTCTCCCTCACCCTGCCCTGTAACTCTAGCCTGGGGAACAGCACACAAGACCTCAAGACGGAGGGTCACCAGGACCAGGACCAGAGCTGTCCCGAGCCCGGTGGGCTCCGAGGGGAGGGGCTGTAGGGGACGCAGAGGATAAATAAAACCCCTGTCCTCTCGACGGGGGGCTTCTGATGGGCTCGTCAGTGTTTGCTGAATGAATCAGCGCCCCAGACTCAAACCTCAAGCCTCTCCTTAGCAGTGTGCTGGGGCACAGGGGGTCTCATGGGGGCTGCCCAGGGACGGCTGGCTCTCAGGAGCCACCAGTTCCTACCCCATTACTAGGACGTGGGAGGAGACAGTGCCCAGCCCACTCACATGGCCCCGTTCACCACCACCAGCTGGCGGGTGAGGTAGATGGCGTCGTCTCCGACGGTCAGCAGGATGGACTCGACCTGGGGGAGGCCCCCGCCGCCGTCCAGGCCCCGCTGCAGGTGCACGGCGAACTCTTTGTAGGAGTCTCGGCAGTCGGAGGCGAAGTTGTAGTCGCAGAGGCCGGGGAAGCGGAAGATGTCCCCGTCGAAGGTCTTGTAGTGGAAGTCGCCCCAGGTGCTGCAGACGTTGTGGCCGTGGTTTTGGGTCCTGCCTTCTGGAGAAGCAGGGGACGGGGGGGTGAGCAGCGCCGGCCGGGGGATGCCCGCTCCCGCCCCCGCCCCCAAAGCTGCCCACTGAAGCCCCTCCAGGAGCTCCCAGAAGCAGCTCGGAGCCCGTCAGGTCCCGAAGCAGGTCCTCAGCTGGGGAGGTCCCCACCTGCAGGAGGGGCCTGCTGGGCTTTGCTCCTCCTGCCCCGGGGCCTCCAGCTGCTATGTCCCCCCACCCCTGTCCTAGTGTGGAGTGCGGCCGTTTGCTGAGCAGGGAGCCAGGCAGAGGGGCTTGCGGGCACCCCGGTCACCAGGTCCACCTGGTCCAGTGCCCCCACTGCTCACTGCTATACTCCCTCCACTCGGTGCCTCCCCCAGGCCCCCCAGTGCCCCTCACCCAGCACAAGGACTATGCTGGGCCCTTCCGAGGCTGCCCACTCCATGTCCATCAACAGGGACACCAGGGTCTCCTGCACCAGGATGTGACCCCACTACGGCTTTGCACCCAGCCGATGGGATGGGGGTTTCCCCACGGTACATTCGTGTACTTTCCTGGCCAAAGTGACCCTGCACTAGGTGGACAAGCACCCCAGTCTCCAGGAGGAGCCATCTCAGCCTCAACACCCTGAGGGTCCCTGATTTCTAGGCCTCCTGGTGGTGCCTTGGGGCCCTGGGACCTCCCCGAGCATGGCTCCTCCAGCCTTCCCTTCCTCCCCACACCCACGGCTCAGGTGTGGCTGCCCGGGCTGCTGTTTCCACCTGGCACCACCCCTGGACCCACACTCTGGTCGGGCAGTCAACCTCAGAGGGATGGGGGAAACCCAAGACCCCATCCTTCTTTCCTGGCCCCTGGAAGTCAGCAGGGAAGGAAGACCCCTGCAAGGAAGCCTTGGCTGCAGCTGTCCAGGCTGTCCTGGGGCACTCTCGGACCACCCCAAAGGCCAGGCAGAGGAGAACCACCTCCTACTCCTGGGTACGACTTGCCAGCTCTGAGCTGCCCCAGCCTTCCTGCCACCACCCCAGGACCTTCTTGCCTGGTCCCCTTGCCCCCTGGCCCAGCCTCTCACCTCTCTGGAGCTCTGAGCCCCTGGCCAAGGACAGGGCCAGGCAGACAGCTGCCAGGCGGGCCAGTGGCAGCCCCATGGTGGCTCAGGAGGGCGGTGTGGAGGAGCAACCCGGGCAGGGGTCCGGGCCTTTTATGCCCCAGTGGGAGGGCGGGAGGGCAGGGGAGGGGCGAGGGGTGGGTGGGGCATTTGCCACATTATCAAGAAAACAGCTGTGGGGGCTCCCGTGGACTTATCTTTTATGAGGTTTATCTTTTATGGCTCCCTGGGTAAACTTAGCCTTCCTCAGGATGCAGCAGCCCCAATTGCTCCAATGCCAGCACACGCCCAAGCTGAACCCTGTCCCTCCCAGCTGCTGGTGGGACCAGGCCCAGGGCGGGGAGAGGGTTCTGCTGGAAGCATGTCCTGGCAGGCTCCGTGGTCCGCCACGGCGTCCCCGACCCCAGTCCGTCCCCCAGCACAGCCCAGGTCAAACAAGGTGCTTCTGGGCAGGGGCCCCTGCCCAATATTCGCTGCTCTGTCCCATCCTGGGGACACTGCCCCTCGCTGAGCAGCACGAACTGAGGCCCCAACAGGCCCCCCAGGCCTGCTCAGGCCCATGTCACCCTAGGGGAACCAAACCCTCCCCCAGCGGGGGCCCAAGCTCTGGGGTGGGGGGAGAGACCCAGGACTCAGCGGTCACCTGTACCCGACCACAGCAAGCAGCCTCCCTGAGGGCAGGGGGACGTGGGCTCCTGTGGGGTCCAGGGGGCCGCCCCCTCTGGCTGTGGGGCTCCCGCTCTGTCTGAGGCCCTCAGCTCCATTGACCCTCCAATCTCCTCCTTTCCCCAAGCTGAGCCAGTCTCTGGAATTACATGTAATTGGAACTTGGGGAGCACCCAGCCCAGCCAGGGGATGCTTTACGGGATCAGGTCCTCTAGGACACAGGGGGAACTGGCTCACGGCCCAGAGTGGGCGTCCCTGAGGGGAATGGGGCCGGTCCCGGACACAGCGCCAGGCAGAGAGGGGGAGGACGGCCCCCGCACCCGGGCCCTGCTCCTGCAGGCTCCCCACTGCTGCTCTTGGGGCACAGGCCCTCCTGGGCCACACTAATCACTGGACAAAGGAGGGTCCTGCCCCAGAGAGAGCTGCGGCCTCTGATGCATCTCAGACTCCCCCAGCCAGTTCTGAGACTGGCCACTGTCCCACCGATTGTCTGGAATCTCCTTGGGGAATCGTAGTACGGCATTCAAACTGGAATCAACCCCAAACACGACACCACCAGGCGTGCCAGTCTTTGTGGCCAGCCCAGGAGGGCATGCGCAGGCACTACCTGTCACTGGTGGGTAAACTGAGGCCTGCGGGTCCTCCCTCTACACTTTCCTCTTCCTGAAAACAGAGACAGATCTTGAACTTAGTTTCTGACATTGGCCAGAGGGCAGACCATGGGGAAGGCTTGAACCCCAGCCTGGTCCCTGAGTTCCAGGGGCCAGGGTGTGGGATTCTTCCCAACAGTTAAGGAGATTCTGGGCCGGGGGCACTGAGCCCCTTCCCCCAACCACCCCACTGCCCTGATCAGGCCCCGACACAGAGGTGGTGACCCCTGCTGGGGCTGAAGCCCTCGCTCGGGCCAGAACCCTGTGTGGGGAGCCTCGCTGGCCTCCCACAACAGCTGCGTCCGAGCCCTGTGTGTTGATGTCACCTGCCACTCAGGCCTCCGGCCCTGCAGACAGGACCTCCATGCCACAGGGACAGACCAGGGGCCAGAAAGGGGTCTTTGCACTGCTAGGACGTCAGGGATGCGAGTGAACAGGAACCCGGAGCCTGGAAGGAGGCCCCTCACCCCACGCTGCTGTGCCCACCAGCCTCAGGCCCAGGTGCTGTCCTACCTGCAAGGACTTGGGCACATGGGGACGCTGAGTGTGTGGCCCGAGCCAGCAGGAGCAGGGATTAGGAAACCAGAGCCGGCTGGGCCACAGCAGGGCCATTGTGCCGCTTCCCTGTGTGGGCTTCACACGTTGGCACCGAGCCCCGGGGAAACCCAAAGACGGGACCTAGCACCTGCGCCCCTGGGAGGAAGTGATTTTCCACACCAGGCCCCTTCCGCCCTGGTGGGGGTCAGAGGAATCCTGACTAGACACAGAATGCCCAGCACAGACACTCCTGCCCTGAGGTCTGACAAGTGGGTCCTCCCAGGATGGAGGAGGTGGGTCCTCCTGGGTCTGAGAGGGTCAACCCTATGTTCCCTCTGGATGGAGAAGTGGTGGCGACCCCCTCTCAACCCATCACAGGGTCTCAGGTGGGGGCCTGTGTGAGCTGTGACACCAGGTAGCTGTGCATGGGGCAGACACCAAGATCCAAACCTCACTCCCTAATGGAGGGAAAGGAGCTGGTTTGGGGAAGATGGCAGTGATGGCTCCGACAGCCCGGGGTGACGGGAGTCACCCCCACCACCGCCAAAGTGAGAGTGTCTCAAACCACATCCCAGGCCCAGTCCACCATCAGATCCCTGGCCAGGCTTCACTGCCAGCTTCTCGGCTGCCAAGCACAGTCATCACAGTGCTCCTGGCAGGTGACAGGGACCAGGTGGGTGCAGGAAGGAGCTCAGGGTGAGGGGCCAGTGCTCCACTACAGGATAACAATAAACTTGGAAATGCCCAAATCAGGCTGCAGACGCCGCGATGCACTTAGACACTTGGCTTTATCCGGACATAATACAACAGACGCAGGATGACGGCTCTGTCTGCCTGGCTCGCCCCTCTCCTCTGTGCAGCTGGAGGGCAGGCAGCTGTCACCAGCCTCAGAGCTCAATTCTCTGCCCTTGACAACCACAGGGGGACCCCCACCACTGCCCTGGTGGAGGGAGAGAGTAGGGGCTTCAGCCACTGAGGAGTGCTGTCGGTACCACTTTTCTGTGACACCGAGGAGAGGGGAATGGCCACCCCACCCAGCCACAGGGGGACGCGGCTGGGCCTCGCGCAGCACAAGCCCCCAGGCGGATGGGGTCTGAGGCGCCCAGCCTCCCCGGCCGGGCCCCACACCCAGCAGTAATTACCCCCATGCTGTTGCCAGCGACTGCATGGAATCTGCGGTCATGACCACAGGGAGGAGCCAGCAAAGACGTCACGCAGACGCCCAAAATGACTGTCCCACCGCTGTGTGTCCACAAACCCTGACTCATCAGGAAGCTGGGGACGGGGCGGAGGGGCAGTGATGGTGCGGGGGGACTAGAGCCACAGGAGAAGGAGGGAAAGGTAGAGGAGGAGGGGGAGCAGGGGGGCGAGAGGAAGGGCCGCGCCCTGCTGGAGACAGCAGGTGCACCCCAGCCCCCACCCCTTCTCAGTCGCCTTGTGTCATGGTTACTTTCTTTTTTTTTTTTTTCTTTTTTTTCCTTTTTGTCTTTTTTACTAACCGGTAACGGGATCGCAACCCTTGGTGTCGCGCCCATACCGGGGACCGGCAACGGGATCGCAACCCTCGGTGTTGTGCCCGCACCGCGCTCAGCCAGTGAGCAGGAACCGGTCTCCACATGGGATCCGAACCCTCAGCGGGAGCGCCGCCACGCTCCCAAGTGGCGCACTCTCCAGTGTGCCACCGGGCCGGCCCAATGTCATGGTTACTTTCATGTGTCACTTTGGCTGAGCAGATGACCCCCGTACTGTGGGTGGGCTTCGCTCTATCAGTTGAAAGCCTTAAAAGCAGCAAAGACTGAGGCCCCCCAAAGAAAGGGGATTCTACACCCAGGTGGCCTTTGGGCTCCAGTGGCAGCGTCAACTCCCCAGGGTCTCCAGCCTGCCCTACAGATTCCAGACTTGCAGCCCCACAATCACAACAGCCAATCCCTTAAAATAGCAGCCCGCCCTGTGCCCCCCGTGCACACACGCACACGTCCACACCCTACTGGTTCTGTGTCTCGGGGGAACTCTGACTGACGTGCCCAGCATGGCCCGGATCCCTCCCACAGGGCTTGTGGAGGGCATTTTTCCTGCCCGCACTGCAGCTTTGGGATGCCCCTCCCCCTCAGCCCTTCTTTCCCTGCCCTGTGTTGAACCAAATGCAGCCCACGCTGACGTTTACTAAAATAACGCTTCCATCCTTATGCCCTGTCGGTCACATATATCATCTCGGGCCATTCCCTCATAACTCCATGGGGTTGGTCCAATGATTAACCCATGTTATGGAAGGGGAAGCTGAGTCACTGAGCGTCTAAGCCAGTGTCTCCCAGGGAGCAGGGGGTGAGCCTGGCTCAGTGCCATGCTGTTGACCATCGCCATCCTGCCCAGCCAAGACCCGCCAGCACCAGGCCACCCAGCCCCACCCCCTGCTGGACTTAAGTGGGGCAGCACGGGCTGATGGCCCAGTCCTAGTGCCACAGCTCTGACCTCACCTTAGAGGGCAGATGGAGGGTGGGCCCAGAGAAGCCACAGTTCCCACCCTTCTGGACACCCAAGGGAGATCCCAGTGCCAGCCACCCACAGGGACAGAGTGGCAAGGCCCAGACCTCATCCCTGGTGGGCAAGCATCTGAGGACTCAAGACACCAGCCACCTCCACCCCCATGTCCTCCCTCAAGACATTGGAAGGGCAAACCCAGACCTCACAAGCATGTCCACTTCCTGAGCCTTCAGAGGTTCAGAACAGCCTGGGGGTGTGCACATCTGACCCACATTACCTCCCCTGTCCAACGTGGGGTTAAAAGCAGCATGTCGGCCTCACTGTCTTATGCAAAGGACAAGTAAACACACAGAAGTGTCTGTGTTCGGGCAAGAGGGTCAGGAGAGGCTGAGTTGGCAGGTTGGGCTCCTTGACCAAGCCAGGGCTCCAATGAGCAGGTGAGCATTGGACAGGCCTCCTGGTGGGGAAAGGGCAGCCCTTTCCACCATCAGGTGGGTCACTGCACTTCAGGATTTAGCCACCCTTAGGCAGTTACCCTTGTCCTCTCAAGACATGGTCCAGATGTCACACCTTTACCCTGATGACTGTCCTCCCCACCCTGACCACACTGTGTGACCATTGCTGCCTTTTTGCTTTGAGTGCCCTGAGGACAGAAGCTTATGCAGGCTCTTCCATGGTCCACCCTCACAATAAATGCAATTGAAAA